ACACACACACACACACACACACACACACACACACACACACACACACACACTAAATAAGGTGGACTGTGCTCTTTAAAAGTTGCACAGTTTAGTGACTAAGTCAAAGGGCCAATGCACATCAACAGAATGTCAAGGCCTACAGCATCCTTCCATTGACAAAATGGTGACATCTCACCAGAGACCACATTTATCACATGGTCTCTTATGTTATTGTGTTTTTGTTATTCTGTCCTATGATAGTGTATCATTTACAGTCCTACGTGTAAGGTCGACTGGGCTCGCGAGTTCATTTCAACACGGCTTTGAGTAATATGCCAGTTACAACAGTGAGGGTCTCCGGACAGTCGGAGTAAGGCCGCAGTGCCACTTCGGTTCAGTTCATTTAAATACATATAAACAAACATGACAAAATGACAGGTAGAACAGTTGAAAATTAAATAATGCCATAAATTCAGAACTATTAAATGATTTGTTGTCTAAAGAATGAGCAAATTGATATAGTACAGATTGAACCATATTTCCCTATAAGTTTATCTAGTGCTAGCAGATATTTGGATATATTTCTTATTTCTACTTCTAAATATTTTCTTCAATGTTGACAAATTGGGGAAGTACATGTATTTAGTTGGTAAGTATTTCAATCTAATATCTGTAGGGGCTTCACATTTAAATAAGTAATGAAAATCATCGCCTATTGCTGGTAAATGGCAAAGTTTACATGTTCTGTTTTCTATGGAATCCTGGAAGGGACATTGTCGCGTTGTCGTCCTCTCAAAAAGAAGCAAAATGAGGCAAAATTAACCTAAACGCGACATTTCGCCTGTTTATGACGCATTTCCACATGGCGACAAATGGCGAAATGTCGCGTGTCGCGTTTTGGTTGCCTCATTTTATTTGTTTTGAGAGGGCGACAATGTCCCTTCTCGGACTAAGCGTCTATTTTCTTCTTCTTACGTTCATTACTTCGATTACGTTTCTACGATGACGTTTCTAATTTTCTCTATTTGGAAAATGTCGTCGAATTCCCTGTAAACGACGCACGACACTGTCTCGGGAAGTGGCGTTGCAAACTGCGCTTCGAGTCTAAGAGTTTCCTGTTTTTGAAGACGCAGGTATGTTCCGTCGTTGTTTTGACCGAACACAGGATCCAATGAGAAGACCTATAGTGCGTAACCGCCTTGGAACTCGTATCGAGAAATGTCCACGCAGTTGAGACATTGATGTTGTCGTCCATCAGCCAACATCCGGCGGAGCGGAACAGATTGACGTACGCCGGGATTATGGTTTGTCCCCCGGTGCTTTCTCCGAAGTGTAGGTTCATGGGTCCGGAATCTCCGACTGTGGTGCCATCGCAGAACAGCACTATTTGCGACAGGTCCCAGTTGGCGAAGTTATAAGGATTCTTGTGAAAGTCGCCCATACCAACCGCCTTGGCGGATACGAACCCGGCTACTATCTTGTTGGGGCGAACGCTTTGGAATAATATGTTGTCCCACGCGAAGCTGGTTTGTACTTTAACGATGGAGAACATCTTCACTTCCGTTCTGCGATACTTATTTGGCCGGCGTCTTCGACAGCACCTCGTTATGACCCCATATGACGCCCGGATTCACGCAAACTTTCATGACCTTCAAGACGATGTCTTCTATGTGCACGACGTATGCGGTGTCCGTTTTGGACGCCATTAGCAGGAATTGGGGGCTGGATCGGTACAGTTTCACTTGCACGTCGACTTGGTTCAGTATGTACCGCTTCATTTGAAACAGGTCGTGCATCAGCGGGACTCGAGGTCGAACGTTTTACTCTCGGAGGAGAACTCGTACCTACTGAACATACCCGTGTTGGTCCCGTTCGGATTGGTTATATCTAATTCCCCGGCCGTATCATTGAAAAACAGTTGCGCCTGCATCTTCGTCTTGTTGTTGATGGAATTGGTGTTCAAAAGTGTTTGAATCATGGCCTTCTACGGATAGTGGTTGCTCGTCGAGTTGACTAGGCGCCCTTGCAGCCATACATCTACTGGCGAAAACAGGGAATGAAGAAATAGGTTTATAGGGGCGCACGCTTCGTCGCTAGACAGATGTGAGTTGTCGCGTGAGTTATCCTACATTTAACGTACAGGGATGACCGTCTAAGATCGACGTATTCCAGTCCGTTATGACCGCTAATATGAAATTCGATGAGTGCGGATCCGGATAGAGGTGACACCGGTCGGCAGCCTTGAAGATAGGTCCTTTCTACGGATGTTTGCGTCGGCGGAAGATCGAATAAGGATAGTTCGGGCGGTTGCGTTTCTGTGAAAAACTTGGGATTGTTGGTTAACGCCGTCATGACCGTTCTCCTTTCTTAATAACCGAACATGTCTTCAATAGTTTTCTTCCGCCTGTGTGCGTGCGATGTCGGTTTCTTCTTCTTCCTGCCGCCGGAAGATGACCTCTTCTTCGTGACTCGAGTGGTTCCCCCTCGGTTACGGACGGCGAGGTTGGTTGTTGTTGTTCTTCTCCCTTTCCCTGTGAGCGATTGTCTCGCACTGCCGCCTACGCGCCTGCGTCATAAGAGAGGGATGGGTGAGACAAAGGTACAGTCAGACCTCGTTAATACGAACACTTTGGTTTTTTTAAAAAAACGTTCGGATAGTGAAACGTTCGTACTGCTGAAACCACAGTATATGCACCGAGTTACTTCCCCTTGATATCTTTCCTTACTATCGAGACTCTGAGGTCATAGATGAAGCCTATGTTTATGAAGGAAATTATAATCCTACTGTTGATAAATATGAAGTTTATTTTTATAATGTTATTAAAAAACTATGGCGATTTTTTTCCATTTGTGACATGTCATAACATGCCCGTGCCTTTTTCTTTTATATTTTCATTTTTACGTCATCACAAAATTATTATAAATTTTTTTCTAAAATAATATGTATGGTTGCCTATTTCCCGATATCAGTGGCTTTCCGCTCGGTAACATGACATAACAACGGAAAATACCTCCGTTTTCGAAGCGTCGTATGAATAACATGGGAGGCGAATCGTTTGATGTCGGGTATCGTTCGAAAGCTTTGAACATCAACAACATCACTGAACCCTTGCCGAGAGTATTTTCACAGTTGTAAGAAGCGATTTTATTGGATAAAAATTGGTTTCTAATGACGCTTTTTCGCTACAGTCTGCTATAAGGGTCGTGATTGGTCAAAATCAGACACGTGACCTAAGGCAGCCAATCATATCACGGCAATGGATATCGTCCTCGTAAACGAAAACTTTTAGATTTAGACGAAAGTTTTCGGTAAAATAATGCTATTTTGAACATATTAAGCAAGAAATCGCTACCTATTAGTTTATTCAATTTACATCGTTACTTTGCTCTTTGACAATGTTACTGTGGACCCGCTGCCGAAGCATGTGTCCGAGAATCGTCGTTTTCAATAACATTGCGAAAAATAGTTTATAATTTTATATATTTTAAGGCACATATTCGGCGTTTGATCGATCGATGGATTGATTGACTAATCGATCGATTGAATTTTGTTATTTGATTCTCTGATTAAGTACTACATAATAATGAACACAGTTAAGATTTCACAGAAGCATTTATACCCCACCGAGTCAGTATGACAGTAATGGTATACAAATCCTGTATATCAATAACGGATGGGAGGTAACTCTTCCTGCTTGAAAGAGATTATTTATATCTATATTACGGTACATTACATAACAGAATATTATAGTAATCACGTTACATTTTAAAATTTCTGGCTACAAGGTATATTAAAAGTATGTCACAAGCTTCTAATTTCATTTCCGTTTGTTTTAGCAATTATTTTGTTAAGAAGGCAAGTAGAAGACTTGACAACAGAATAAACAGGTGTACACGGTAAAAAAAATGTCTCACATTTTTGTGTTTGTTAAGGATGCAACGTGAACGTGTTGAATGTGAGGGGTTTGTCGCTGTTGGCAACGTGTACACATTAGAGGTGAATGTTCAGTCGATGGTGCAAGGTATAAGCGATGATGGCCGTTAAGGCCTATAGTACAATGACGTGAATTATATGGAAAATCATAATGGCATGAGCGCCCGCTCATAGTTTCGCAGTGTAAACATTTTGGTCAGATGGATAGCAGTATTAAACAATACAGATTTATCATGGCTGGACATCATTTGTGTAAATTTAAGTTGAGAATGGTATGCATAATAATAAGGTGGTATATACTTCTCTCTAAGGTTTTGGTACAAAGGACAAACTAGCAGGATATGATATTCGTCTTCAAAACCATCATTGCAGAAGGGACACATTATATCTGCTGACGGAATAGCGGAACCGGAAGAAACGGCGCGTCTATACGCTTGGATACGAAAATCGGTTGATGCGCAGCGGAATTTAGTTAAAGCTTGGCGCAATTTAGCGGATTTAACGAGATGTAAATAAGGCTCTGGCTGAAGGATGGTTTTGAATGTACAATAAGAAGATAACGGTGAGGATTCATGTAGACGTGCACTCCAATCCTGCATACATACATCTTTCACTCGCTGCTTAAATACAATTATAAAATTATCAATATTACCAACATCATGTGCTAGCCAAACAAAATAAAAAAACATGTGAAAATAGGATTGGCGAACACAAGGCACCCAATTTGTATGACCTTGACCATCAAAATATTTCAATATATTACATAAATATGTATCAACCCGATGCACTGCCGTCATTCAGAGGCAGAAATAAAAAGAAAAAGAGGAAAACTAGCATTTTACGCCGCTTTTATCAATTACGTATAGATAATGAGATGCACATGTGAAAATATCATATCATTCCTGTTATCAAATACGCTATAACAATTTGCTGTAGATTAAATCTTCATTTCACTACTTGTTGTTTGATGTACTGGGTCGTTTAAGCAAATAGTACTGACGAAAATGAATCTACCTTAAAATCATTTGTAATGTATTTTTTTAGTGGCCGTCCAATTCATGTGTTACCTCCCTTTAGTGGTCTCGTGATTTCGCGTATGTTACCGTGAGCTGATCATATGAGACCGTTATTGAATGACAGAAAAATAATTGTCTGAAAAGATGGAAACAGCCGTTAAAGCACCCCCGAAAGCCATGGGTTTCTCGGCTAAGGTTGTGTACCACAGTCTTATATGGATACTGATAGCCATTTTGATAATTATAGGTGAGTATGAGATGTATATTGCCGGGGGTCGTGTCCTTCAGTTTGTCATTTGCATTACCATGAATCCACACATCTGGGTCCAGGATGTGACTATTGCAGACATAACCTTACTACGTAGATGGTATCTTTTAATTCAGTAGCGTTTCTAAATACACCGTTTGCGTGATCATAACCTTTCATACTCATTTAGGTGATCTAGATTTGTAGATATACACTATAATAGAGTAATCAACTGGTCAGTAGTGAAAATATGGAAGACCACTGAAAGAAGGAAACTTCCATTTATTTCAATCCTACCCTTCGTATAACCATACACGCCAAGCCATTTCTAGTCGTAAATTTTAAAATGCAACTTATAACATACACACTGACATATACTTAGTTATAATTACTGACATGGCTTTTGTGCTAAATTAAAAAACTCTTATGTGAATAATGAACTCTTTCACAGGTAATCACTTGTACACTTAACAATAACATGGTGAAGGGAACCCATCTTGTGTATATTTTGGACATTTATCCCATGTTGCCAGGATTCAAATATTGTCTGTGGTTATGTAAAACTTTTGGTTTACATTTTATCATTTTTATTAAATGCCTTATGATACTTGTAATGTATATAACATGTGTTACATGCAAAACACTGTGTAAACATATGCTTCATCATATTAAACATATGCTTCATCATATGTATCAAATGTATGTTTGTGAGTTTAAATCCTGTTTTCTTCCGATTATCTTTCTTGGTTAGCCAGAACATTCCACATGCTACAATGGTTCACCAAATATTTTAACAATGGATACCTGCATTACATTGAACTCTTATCCTACATCAACATGATCAAGCTCATACTCTGTGAATTAAGTGGAATAATGTTTAAAGGGGAGTTAACCCCAACTCAATTTCAGTTCTATTTATAGATTAACATATTGCAATTCAAGTCAATAACATGACTAAAAAATAACAAAATGTTGCGGAAGTGAACTGAAAAAATATATAGATAATTTTAAATTATGGTAAGAAAACTTTGTACCCATTCAAGATTTTGTGTGTGTAAATAATGAGATAACATGTTGAGACAAATGACAAGATAGTTGTAGTTGTAAATACTTTATAGGATCGTGTTTTCCTGTATTAGTAGGTACCAGTCTGAAGTACTTTACACAGTGGGTAGAACGTTAGAGAAGATAGACAATGATAGGTATTCTTGAACATGTTGAAGGCTGAAGTAAGTTTGCTGATAACTGTTCATGAGTGCAGATATAAATACAGTTTTGTAATGGTGGTGATGACCCAGATACTGATAAATTCCACTGTAGCTATGCTGAGCATTGGTCGAAGCTCAGCGTGCACAACAGTATCAGGAAGGTTCATTTCACACATGCTGACTTATTTGGACCAACAGTGTCACATATGTTTAATTGTTTTAGAAATATGAATATTTGCTGAGCATGTTGAGGGTACTGGCAACCAGGAACCCTAGGATGCCTCATAAATCATATGATTTATGTGAATGTCTAAAAATCATTGCCTGAGGACATCTCTGCTTGCAATTACTAGGCAGAGGAATGAATCACGGAGTAACAAGCAAGATGGTTATGCTAATCTGGCCCATCATAAGAACGTAACAATCAATGATTGATATATTAGCTATACTTCAGTGTTACCATCACCATGATCACTGGATTTGTAGTTTGTTAAGATGACGTAGTTATCAGAAGCATGATCATGATGATAAGTTCAAATTTGAGAATAAGATTAAGTACCTGATGTATTCTGGGCAATGTTGAAAATGGCTTTTTCATTCAGCAGAATTACACCAGTTGGGTTTATTGTCCCATTGGAAAATCATATATGACATATGATGGTAATATTTTTCATGATACATAGAGTGGACTAATGTTATGTCACTGAAAATAATGGCGTTATAACAGCATTTACCAATGTTTACATTGAAAAAGAGACCTAGTCAAGCTTGCTTGCTTGCTAGACTTGGTTCTGTTTGGGCTTTGTACTGCTGAACTACTGAAAGGGTGGGATGGAGGGGAAAATAATGTGGATCAGGTCCAAGATCATGAAGAGTAATCTAATTGTACTTTGTAGAAAGTTCTGTTTCGCTTGTTCATGATGTAATATACACATTTGGAAAATTAATTACAAGCCACACATTTTGTCTAATGCAGAGACTTTCACTTACCAAGATGTTTAATACCCTATACAGATAAACATCTCAGTTGGATAAACTCACAGTGGACAAGGAATAACAACATGGTATTCATCTGCCATATTGGTTTTACACAGCGCTGCAGACATGATCGTGTTGGTGGTAGATGCAGTTGGTCAAATCTACCTGGCCTTCATGTGCCTCATGAACATGTTTCTTTAGATGTGAATCTGAGTTGTTATGTTTATACAACTGGGTTGCCATTTTCATACAGAGCCTTGGCACATTACCATGATTCCTATAATTACTGATCATTGATGATTGCTAATCAGTTTATCATGTTTATAATCAAGTTGTTCATTATTAAATGGCAAATGTTTGGAGAGATGGTATGGTTCTCTAACCTGGTAAACATTTTGATCTTTGTTGTCAGTATTGCATTGTTCGCAAGTTTCACTATGTTGATATAAATTATTTTATTTATAAAATGGTGTTTTTTCCAGGCCTATACTACAATTTGACTGGCAAGGGGCAGAGGTTTGACATTGGATGGTATGTAGAATAATCTGAAGCATGAACGGTCTCCTGTTCACTTTAAAATCTAAAGATTGATGATCATGAGATCTCTAACAATTTCTAACCATATAGCCAAGTGCTATGGAAAGCTTGATAGTCAGCATGGTCAACATGTTTCTGAAAAGAGCAAAAATGTATCATGCAATGGTTTTAACCTTGTGTAATGATGTGTTGTAGGTTCCTCCAGTCCACATCTCCCTACATGTGGGCCCTCATTGGGACAGGATTCGCCATTTCCCTCTCTGTAGTGGGAGCTGCATGGTGAGTGACCAGAACAACAGACCATTATTTTATGTTTATATTGCTCTGTAGTCCAATCATGCTCCACATTGACATTGATTGTCACGTTATGGCTGAAATATGGCTGATGTGACCCAAATTTGAACTCTACATGACGTAAGCAATGGTAAGTGTTTAGACATTGTCAATGGATCAGTGTGCACTAGTTTCATTGTTAGTCCCCTCAGCAGCGTGAAAAGTCTATGCTTGTGGGGCAAAATCACTATAAGCTATGGCTATACAAGATGAGACCCTAAGGGTTTGCATGACACAGACTATCATGTATGTGATAGCATCCATTTCTCATGTTGCTAATAATGAATATAATTTGGTATCTGCATTTGGGTATTTGAACTCATGATGCTTTCTTAATCCCTTTACAAGTTTGCAACATGGTAAGATGTTGTGGATGATGAGATGATTTGTCAAACTCTGTTTCTATTCCTGTACTTGAATGTAGGGGCATCTACACAACTGGAGCTAGCATTGCTGGTGGTGGCGTGAAGGCACCTAGAATCAAGACCAAGAACCTCATCAGTATTATTTTCTGTGAGGCTGTCGCCATCTACGGAATCATCATGGCCATTGTCATCAGCACAAACTTGGTGGTATGTATTTCATTCTCAGGGTTATGCAGCAGGAGCATGGTAATGGAGGGTGGCCGTAAAACACCCAAAGTTTCTGATACTCTTTGTTGTTTGGTACATGTCTGCATCAGATTCTGTTTGCCTCCCACATTAGGCATATCTTCACTTATATACTTTGAAAACTATTACAAGTGGTAATGAACATAATTCATTCACTCATGCTCTTACATGAACAGATTGTAATATTTGTAACACAGTAATACTTGATAGTCAGTTGCCTATTTGCATGCAGCTAGATTTAAGACCTGTTTGTGATATTATAATATTCCACATGTGAAACGAAAGATGACCAGAAAGTAAACTTCATATAAACAATCCAAGCCTTGCTGCTATCAGTATCATCATTCAGTTTTTAAAAGTAAATGTGAAACTGAAGGAGTTATTGTCATGAAGTGAATGGTAGAAGCTGAACATTCTGAGATATTTTGATTTAGAAAGTAAGGAAAGCAAACGTCATGGTCCCTAGCAATCCCCTAATCCCCACTGCACTTCCATTTTCAAAGGCTGGTTGGGTCTGTTGATATGCATAAATTTCAAATTCTTGTATTTTGATGAGACCAGAGGTATCACCGAAACAGATTTATGTGTACTATTCTTTCTCATTTTAGTTGTTCTTATCTCTGAATCAGACCTGGGCCTAGATCTTGGAAGCTCTCTTATCGCTAAGATAGTTGTAACTGCCATACATTAACATTAACTTACGACGATCTTAGCGTTAAGAGAGCTTCGAAAATCTAGGCCCTGTTCTCTAACATCATGGGGGGTTAGCTTAGTGGTTAAAGTGAAAAGCCAAAGGCCCAGATTTGATTTCCCACATGGGTACAATGTATGAAGCTCCATGTTGTGCTGTAAAGTTTTGACGGCTTGCCTATATCAGAGCCCTGACAACTATGTGTTTACTGATTGTCAGATAAGAAAAGCTGAGCTATGTTTTTTGTTTCAGTATTTTGACATCACCAAGTTTGAAAGCACAGAGAAACTCTACCAAAATTATGCAGCAGGTAAGGATCATAAATATCTATTAGTGTGTGTTGGATTTAAAATGCATGTACAATCATATTAAGTTGTGGCTAGAACGCATTATACTGGATACCTAGCAGGGTTAGGGTTAGGGTTATTTTCATCACAGTTTTATATTTTTTCACCTTTACGTGCTCGCATCACGTGACCTAATTAAATATGGCAGGCAGGTATCCGGTATAATGCATGTGTACCCAAGTTGTCAACAAGGTTTACATTTCTGTGAAAATGTCTATGTGGCTGATCTACCCATTTAAGTAAATGTGTTGAAGGGTTAGGCTTCAGTTATTGCAGAGTTATTTCCCTTTGACTGTGGGATATCTTCAGTGTAGACAAAGTTGTTTGACCAGACAGTTCTTCTTTCATTGTATTGCAGTCATAAGCTGTTGATCTTGAGAGTGAGTAAATGAGTGAAAACTTTTAATCACATATTGACTCCACATTGCCATCATGATAATGAGAAAATCAGAAACATACATGAATAATTTGTTTCAAATTCGTAGAAGTAAAGGTACCAATTTTGAAATGAAACATGAAAGCATGACTGCTTTTACATCACTTAGTTTCGATCACTGTATATTAAGTTATATATTGACTTTAACTGTATTGTATAATCACTAAGGGACATTTTATACCAAATTAAATATTTTTCCTTATCCTGACTCATGCTTATTGCTTGTCTCCCTTTCCTTCCGAATGCTAGTGGAACACTTGAATCCCCTTTTGAAGCTCCCTTAAAAAAAGCGGACGTAAAATCACTTACCAGCAGTCACCTCCCTTGCCAGGTTTTGACGGGAACGGCGCCACCCGTCTGCCATGCTCTTCACTCTCTCCTGATTCGCCCGAGTGGGCGGTTGTGAGAGCACCTGGTCCCCTATACGGCTTTATATCCTTTTATTATTTAGGCTTTTTTTCTAAATTTAGCTGTATAAGGCTTTAGCTAACTTTTACCTACAATATTGTACGGAATTAATTCTCAGATTTCTCCGTTTTTTTGTCACATTTTTACTTGATTATTCACATTGTTTACAATTGATGAAATCTTGTTCTGATTGTAGGTATCGTTTGTCTGCTGTTGATCCGCATAACCTATGTCCTAATTGCAAGCCTATATGTTTATCTGACACTCGTTGTCAGTTGTGTTTTCACCTGTCTGATATTGCATTTTACAAATATTCATATTATCTGTCTAGACGTGCAAAGGACAGGTCCAGACGAGATTTACACGACATGTCTAAACCGGCTAAGCTTGCAGAGGACCGGCAGTTGGTGTCTGCGCAGATACACCATTCCAGTGGTCTACCGGGTTCGTCTACAGAGGAGGTTGCCGCCTTAGACACCGCTGGCTCGAGGAAGATGTCATCTACATCTGAGACACCCTCTTTGCAGTCTAAGAAGACTAGGGCATCGTCTTCCCAGAGGAAGAAGGCAGCTACAGCTAAGACTTCGGCGAAGTCTCCACACGGGGCAACGCAGAAGACGAGATCTTTTTCAGCTGAGATCGTCCCACTGGAAGAAATAGATGTCTACGATGAGCCGCCCATCCTCATCCCTGAGATCACATCTAAGAAGAAGACGAAGACGTCTTCAACAGTGACCACGCAGGAAACCCTATCAACCCAGACGTTGGGCACGAAGGTTCTACGCCCTTCGGAAGAAGCCTCATCCATCTCAGATGCGTCGTCAGTACAACAGACAAAGCAGACCTTCAACCCGGGCGCCTTTATGCCGCAATTTACCAAACAGATGTTGGATCTGATGGATCAACGGTTCGCACGCGAGAGAGCTGCGGCGAAGACGACGTCTGCGACGAACCCGACATCTGCGACGAACCCGAGTGAAGGTCATCTGAGCAGCACACCACGTCCGTTGGGAACAAACGTCCTGCAGAGCACACAGGAAGATTCCAGCTCAACTACAGAGTTCGCACGAATACCTGGCAGCGATACCAACGTGGACTCCGCACCAACTACGTTCGACGGAAGGACCAGACGTTCGCCGAACCCACGCAGATCTTCATCGACGTCAGATACGGAAGTTCGTCACGAACCTGCACGCAACGGTTCGTTACCAAGGAGAAGAGAATCAACATCCGTACGAAGGCATAGAGATTCGTCACAAGACTCCAACCCTCGACAAAGCCGTTCACCAACATGCAGGTTCGCGCGAAGGCACGCACAGTCGTCTCTATCTCCACGCAGGTCCCAATGTAGGATGTCATGAACACATTCACGAACGAATGGTTCGCCTGGAAGGTCACCACACAGGTCGCCTTACAGGTCACCACACAGATCGTCTTACAGATCACCTTACAGATCGCCTCATTGAGACGACAATAGAAGACATCCATCCTCAGAGCAGGAAGATGACGGCGGAATTATATTTCCGACTCGGAAATCAAGTCATGGATGGCCAACGGTTTGGAACTGGCATCTAAGGAGACCAACGAAGCACTATCATACTTGATGGTGAATGATGATATAGACTCACTCACGATGCCACCTATCAACCCAGTCTTAGACGTTCCAGACAACCTCAGCACAGCCTTCAAGAAGGCAACTAAATACCAGACTCAGAGTATTCCGTCGTTCAACGCTAAGAAGTTCTCTCTACACCACATGGAACCCTTCATAAAGGCCCCAGAGATAGATGAGAATTATAAGATCATCAACGACACTCGGACTAAAGCTTACAAGATAGAAGATAAAAAGCTGGCACAGTTAGACACAGTAACCAGACGAACCTTCTTCGGCCTAGCCAGGTCAAGAGCTGTCAACGAGACTCTCATCTCGAAGTTTAAGAATTCAACTTCAGAGGAAGATAGAATGAACACAGAAAAAGGATCATCAGTTCATGTCTGAACATCTATCATCCATTTCTGCAGGCTTAACATTATCAAGAAGGCAAGGACTGTTATCTTCATGTACTTGGAGCGAGAAGTTTACCAAGACACTCTACAGAGCCCCTTTGTCAGCACCATCCATTTTTGCAGGAGAAATTGATGAAGTCGCCAAGGAAGTCGCTAAAGATTCCCGAGAAGTAATGATGATCAAGTCTATCGATACACTGGCCAGTGTAATATGTCAGACCTCCCAACGTTATTCTGGCAAATCAAGTTTGCAGGCATCCAGAGAGCAAAGGGATAAGAAATCAGGCAACGCTAAAGGAAATAAGGATTCTTTTCGTAAGCCCATCCGCGGCTCCAAGAGGTAAGTACCGGAAGAGGTCGGCCCTTTTCGGCCAGATTTTCCAGGCGATAAATACAGGTTCGAACGACTGGAGTCTTCCACCCCAGCTGTTCCAGTACAACCCTCACAAGTGGGTGGGCGTCTGCAACTCTACTGGAAGAATTGGGGAATTCTTCAAGGCGACTTCGTTATCTCAGATTCCACGCGACAGGTTACAGGATACAGCTACAAGCAGTACCACCAGTAACAATCAACCCTATGGTTCACAACTTCGCGCTGCAGACCAGAAGGGAAATCTACTAGAAGCCATCACATCTCTACTGGAGAAAGAGGCAATAGAAGAGATAAAACACCGCGTCTCACCAGGTTTCTACTCCCCAATTTTTCTGATACCAAAGAAAAATTCAAAAGAAAAAGTTCGACTCATTTACAACATGAGGAAATTCAACAAAGATTACCTCCTACCACCCACAAAGTTCAAGATGATACATCTACCACAGCTCACGACAGCTCATGCGTCCGGCTAGACTATCTAGCCAGCATAGATTTACAGGATGCATACTTACACATCCCCGATCCATCCGGAATCAAGGAAATATCTACGATTCCTGTTCAACGGACGTCATTTCCAATGGAAGGTCCTGCCATTTGGAATAACGTCGGCCCCCTGGTTGTTTACTCGAGTGACAAAGCCCATCAATATATATCTACATCGTTGAGGAGTCACGCAGTCGCGTTCTACCTAGATGACGGGATTCAAGCTCAGCAAGATCCCAGTCAACTCAGACTGCAACTGAACTTCACCATCAGACTTCTCACTCAACTAGGATGGCTAGTAAATCTCCTCAAGTCGGAACTACAGCCTACTCAGGACTTATATACGGCTTATAACAACGAAGAATCGCATTCTCGTTCCAGAGGATCGTTGGATCAAGATTCAACAAATGATCTCTCAAGTTCTGCTCTCTCCGTTACCACTCACGAGAATGGCAGAACTATTGTGGTCTCCTCCACGTCAGCTCAAGACATGACACGCAGGGAGACTACAACTCGTCCACTACAGAGATTTGTGAGCGCCCTTACACAGTCTGGATCCTTCGAAATACCAGACAGGCTAAAACCATATCTACTATGGTGGACTCAGAAATTCGAATGTTTGCGACGGAAACTACTTAATAGAGGCGAGTGCAGCGTCACCTCTACACAGGCGCATCACTGCACGGTTGGGGGCACACCGACAACTTGAAGTGGTTGCTGAAATGGTCGAAACAAGAAATGAATCTGCATATCAACATGCTCGAGATGAAAGCAGTAGTAAATGCCCTTCTACATTGGTCCAAAGTACTAAGGAACGCAAAATTGATGATCCATACGGACAACTCAACAGTGGCGTTCTACATAAACAAACAAGGATCAACAAGATCTTGCAATCTTCTAGACCTCAGCTTTCAACTATTCAACATCATAGACAATCTCAACATTTATGTGAAAGCATGTCACATTCAGGGAGCCAGGAATGTAATAGCAGATGCGCTATCTCGACCACATCAACCACAAGCGTTCAGATGCATCATACAGACGATAGGATCTCCACTCGTAGACCTATTCGCCACGAGATTCAACAATCAACTGGCAACATTTGTCTCTCCAATTCCCGATCCGCAAGCATGGGCGACAGACGCTCTAAGCATCCCATGGGAAGGGCTAAACGTGTACGCGTTCCCTCCGCCAGCGTTAATACCACAGGTATTACAGAAAATCAGGCAGACAAACAATCTACAGCTGATTTTGGTCGCGCCTTACTGGCGAGCAAGAACATGGCTTCCCGTTCTTTTACAAGAAATGGGAAAACCAACAATACAACTTCCAGTTTGGCGAACCTACTAATTCATCCTCACACCAAGCAAGTTCACAAGTATCCCAGATTGTTCCACCTGCGTATGGAGCGTATCATGAATTGCTAGTCGAAGAGGATACTCCGCCAGAGCAGCGAAAGCAGTTACACTAACTACGCGAGATCTACTCGTAACTTGTATGGCGACAAGTGGCAAAGCTTTGAGAAATATTCATCGAGGAAAGGTTTCACTGCAGTGAAAGCAACACATCTTCAAGTGGCAGAATATCTTTGTCATCTCAGACAAATGAGGAAATTAAAAGGTTGACATTATCTACATACCTAGCGGCTCTCAGCTCAGTTATCACTATGAAGACAGGCGTGAAACTGACCAAGGTGCCAGAGTTACAGGCCTTGCTACGCTCTTTTAAACTGGAAGACCAACATATGAAATTTAAAGCCCCGGCAGGATCTCGGCGTGGTATTACGACATCTCACCAGTGATGTGTATGCGAACCACTAGAAAGAACTTCTTCACGAATTTCTACACAGAAAGCGCTATTTCTGATCGCCTTGGCTGGCAGCGGCACATATGTCAGAAATACATGCGCTGGACTTTGAACGGATACGTTTTGACACACGTCACAACACGGTTCATCTAGGATTGAGGTGGGATTCCATAGCTAAGAATTAACTGCCAGGTCAGCCGGAGACAATTCCACATCCCAGCATTATCTACAATCCTTGGTCCACAGGATATACAAGATTTATCCTATGTCCAGTCAGGCTGAAAATATATCTACAGAAGTCTAAAACCAGGAGGCGAAAATTCAAGCGCCTTTTCATCCCCATAGCTCGTCGGAGACACCCACAGAGATCTCACGTACTCACGATATCAGTTTGGATGAGAGCAATCATACTCTGAGCCTACAAGGCAGCAGGACTTGAGCCTCCTCGAGCCTCAATACGCATACGAAGTTAGAGCACTGGCATCTACACTCAGCTCTACATGGAAACTGCTCAATATCCACGATCATGGAAGGGTGTTTTGGAAATCCGGAGACAGTATTTGCCAACCACTACCTCAGAGACTTTGCTACCGAGGACGTCTCCGGTATCCACCAGTTTGGACCTCTGTTGTAGCTCAACAGCTGGACGGTCCCTCAAAGGCTGAGATGTATCTTTAGCCCTTTTACGCATGTCATGCAAAGCTTGTACTCCAAGGAATAGAGCTTATAGTCCATGTACACGTCTAGAACAGACTAGCATGAATATTGGACCCTGTACTAGTAAGGAATTACTTGTACATGGATAGGGTCACTACTCCACTTGATACGACCATCAAGAGTATTTAAATCCACATGTACGATTACAGAAGAGTTTGATATATTGTGGTCCCCCCAAATTACCAAATTATTTCGACATATGGATCAGCAGCAGCAGTGCCATTTTAAGTTCCCATGGGGGTATATAGGACGTAAATTCATCACTAAGGAATCCAGAGGTGGCTTGACCCACCACCTATACCGCCGGATTCTACAAGCAATAAGCATGAGTCAGGATAAAAAAAAAATATATGTAATTTTCTGACTAAAATTGATATTTTATACTTATCCTGACTCATGAGGTAAGCCCTCCCAACCTCCCCTCAAGGCACTCTGGATTTCCCAGTAAACCAGTGTGTCGGGTTATAATATGGAGAGAGTGAAGAGCATGGCAGACGGGTGGCGCTGTTCCCGTCAAAACTTGGCAAGGGAGGTGACTCCTGGTAAGTGATTTTACGTCCGCTTTTTTGAAGGGAGCTTCAAAAGGGGATTCAAGTGTTCCACTAGCATTCGGAAGGAAGGGAGACAAGCAATAAGCTTGAGTCAGGATAAGTATAAAATACAGAGCTACAGATAACTTTTTGGGTCATTGAGTTATGTACTCGCTTGTGTTCATCTCAATTGGGTATCCTAACTTTCCTTTGAGTAACCAAATAAATTGTACCCACCTCACTCAAACTCAGTTGGGTATTTTGCAATTTTCTATAAATTGTAAAACCATAATAAAGTTTAAATGTTGGTTTATGTGTTTGTTATTTATATTTGATCTGTAATATGAGAAACGATCAGAAATGCTGCAAGTTGCCAAGTTCAGGTGCCGAAATAGAACCTCTCAATATACCTCAGTTATTTTATCTTTTTTGTGTGTACGCATGTAAGATCAAATTTACTGAGTATTAAAAAAATTCAAGCGTACTTGTACGCAATAGACTTAATAGGAATTGAGTTTTCACAAAAATAATTGCGTAATTTACGCAGGTACGCAGCTTATCTGTACCTCTGAAATATCAATTTTAGTCAGAAAATTAAATGTTTTTATACCACACTGATTATGTTGACACAATGTTTCAGGCTATATGATGTTCGGTGCTGGTCTGACGGTGGGAATCACCAACTTGGCATGTGGTGTGTGTGTTGGCATTGTCGGATCCGGTGCTGCTCTTGCAGATGCTGCCAACCCGACTCTCTTTGTCAAAATTCTTATCATCGAAATTTTTGGCAGTGCTATTGGATTGTTTGGATTGATTGTAGCAATTTTACAGGTAAGTACATTTAAATACTGTGAATATGGTATCTGGTAATGAAGACAATACTGCGAATATTAATTGCATCCTGAATGCATTGACTGCGGACGTAGTGAATATGGTTAGCTGCACGAATGCAGTAACTATGGATACTGGTAAGATGGTTGCATTGTGAACACTATGACTGTGACTCAACATATTGCTGAGATGGTTTCATCATGAACACATTTAGTGTGATTGCACTGTGATCAATCTCTGAGATCATGTTGTTACATAAATGAGGTGAACTTCCTGCATGTTGGAGGAGGCTGTAGACCAGGCCTGGCAGCTGATGAGTGGGCTGATGAGTGTGTAATGTTGTTCATGTGCATCCCTGTGGAATTCATGTCTAGTGTATATCCATGTGGCTGTCCTGCTTGGGCTGCAGTCAACTTGAGAGTAAAACCCTCTGGCTTTACATCTTCAGATTATGTAGTCAAAGGGAGATAACTCACTTCTTGGAATACTTATGCATTAGTGAACTACAACATCTGTGGTGATAGTGAGGATCACAGGGAAGAGACAGCAGTTTCAGCATATATCATAGTTATTAATCCGAATGAATGTGCACATATTGTCTTTAGTTCTGATATTTTGTCTCACCACTGTACATATATATAACTTACAGTTGAATTTTATCTGTTTCAGACCTCCAAAGCCACCATGTACCCCAACAAATAACGAGATGAGGTCATGCTGCTTGAAGCCATTCCAGACAGAACAAATGTACAGCTCAACTGAAACAGATCAGAAAACATCAAAGTTTACTGTCAAGGAACTGTGAACTTTCTCACAATTCCAAATAGACTGCTTGTAGTACATTGAATAACATAGACACATGCTCAGCATACATTGTACATTACATATCGTGAAATAGCCAAGATTATCTATTGGTGGGCTGCTTTTTAACTAAGTATCAAAACATGTAACCACGATGAAACCTGGTTGGTTTGGTAATGCAGCTTTCATCAGTTCTGTCCAGATAGTATTAGTACAACTAATTATATTAAAGTTTGGTGTCCAGATGAGCTGAGCACTATGTTAAAGTATGGGAGTAACGATGTATAATATATGAAGCCAGCAGCCAAGCGTACTATGGGTACGTGATGTTACTAAGGAATGTCTAGCTGTGTTATTTCAGCCTGATAAATAATATATCACATGACAAAATGAAAATCATAATTCTATTTGAACTTGTATGGTGCACTGATCCTTGGGCATATTTGTTATTTATTATCAGTGATTATATAGAGCTGTATGGATATTTATTCCACCTGATGTTATCTACAACATTGTCAATAAGGTTATAAAGTAAACCATTTTTTCAGGCTTTGTATATTCTGTCCCAGGATACTGTACCATGTATACATCGATGTTGTCAGCTGTTTGACAACCAGGTGTTATGATCTGTGAGTAGTGTATATGATCTTTGATGATAAGTCTTCTGTAGGTGTATATACTGGACATTGTGTGTATAGTTCATATCTTTGTTTATCATAGTTACAACATGTACAACAAATGTACACATTCATCATCTTGACTAGTCATTGTCAGATGAAATCTAAGGAAGGACATTTCTTCACAGACCAGATTTCTGTTGTTTTACAGATTAGCTTTTTTGGGGGAACTTTCTAAATGTTTTCATCAATCACAGAACAATCAGAAAAAATTATTTTGAGGAACATATGTAATTCTATATGAACATTCAGTTTAGTATTTGGAATTCTAATTTTGATAAGTTTTGTTAGTTCCCTGTGATTGACCACATATAAATAGCTCCTAATACTGAAGGTTGCTACAGAAATTGAGTTATGGAATTCTGTGAAACAAGAGAAACAGGTCTTAGCGTAACAGCGAAATCAAAATGTGAGTTTATCATTGGTATTTGACTTGATTGGATGTTCTGATCTGGTGAAGAATGATTATTTTTCAGTTTGCTCATCATGTGTATTGGATTAAATTGTAGATTTTATCTTCTGTGTTGTCAGTTAGGCCCTGTATGTGGAATTCCATGTTTTGAAGAGAATGTCTTTGTTCCCACATTCCAGTGTGATGTAGTTCCTTGTTCTACCGAGGGTGATGCTGCAACCATTAGAAGCTAAATCTATTTAAGGCTGTGACACTTCCTCTACACATCCTGAGTAATGGTATGCACAACATGGATTCCAATATGAACATTATGGATGTCCTATTTGACTTGGTGGGGAAGGAGCTGAGAGTAGGGATTCTTAATAAATTATTATACTTCAAATTGTTGAAGAAAAATAGAAATTGTTGGAATGAAAAATTATAGTTGCAAGGTGAAGGTGTTTTTCAGGAATTGATATTTTTACTTCAAGTTTTGATTAAAAAGTATCTTGTTTTGTAGCTGAAAAAATGTCTAGTCTCAAAAGAATTCCAGGTGACCTTTCCCCAATATCAAACGTTGATAGTCTGAAGGAGATCTCTGCATGTATTGTTGCAGCTGTATATTCTTGCTCCTCTTGTATGAAAGGTAACCCTGTTGACTCTGTAGATTGTTCATCTTTGTCTATAATGTAAATCAGCATAATCTTCTAAATGATTCCCATTTTAGTCATGGTATTTGGAAGAGTAGAGAATAAACCTTTGCACATTTTCATTGTTTTCTTTATTGTTTTATGGTTAGGGAGCTATATATAATGGAGTTATAACCAATAGATGGCTATTGAGCTTTAGTTTATGCAAGAAGTGTATATCTGGCCTTTGGGAGAAATTCTGTTCAGGTTTTGTCAGTAAATTACCATCCACTATCATTTTGGTAAGGAATTGGAAATCCATAAATGTAAGTAATTGTTTTTGTTGTTGCAGATAATGTCAGCTCTGGTTGCAGCTGCGTCAATAACACGCACCAGAGCTCACTCACTCACTCATTTCCATTGATCATGCTGGTCACTGTTTTACATAGTTTTCAGCAATCTACGCAATATTTGATCTTATTTCCCTTGTCTGTATTTGTAATGCTAAATCATAGTAATAATACCTTTTGTTTTATCGTGAAGTCCTTCCCATTCATCATATTGTGAGTCCTTGAGGGTCATCTGTGTAACCTAGATGTATATGTTTATGTAGGCTGTTATACACAGGACTTACTGCGATATACTGTCACTGATTGGAAGGATGTAATAAAATCTTATGTGGTCGGACTGGATGTGTTGTTTCATTTACCAGTAATGGTTGCACTCAGGTTGAGACTCCACATTAGGTGAGTGTGTGAATGCTGCTTGATATGTCTGTCAACAATGTTTAGCTTAATTAGGCACACTGTTTATCATCGAGATCAACCAGCAACGGAACACAACGGCAGGACTCAAATTTGGCATTAGTCTGATTGCCCTGTCCATTTATTTCATTTTTCTTGTAACATGTATATATATCACTGGGAGCTTCTGGCTCACATTTCAGTTATGAATATGAAACTTAAAGAAGCGCTTGTAAATTTTGGTAGCATTTACTTGTTCATCCTCCATAAGAACGCTTTTCTCTGTGCAGAGTTGCGTCCCTTAGTTGTGCAGAAAATGGAGAGCTAGATTTCTAGATCCGCCATAATTATGAATCTTTGTTAGTGCACCTGTGCTTGTTCGGTCACCTGAAGTTGTAAACGTTTTAAGGATGCATCACTTGAGTCCTTCCTCCACCATCAGCTTGTTGGAATATTGTTAAAAACTGCGCTTAACCAAGTTCACGCACTCATTTGTACCGTCGATACCTTAAATATCAGAACTTTTATGAATACTGTTTCTTGAAATAGAACTAGAGCTACTGAATGCTATTTTCGAACACTGTTGCGTTCATATTGCAGCATTGCGTTGAGTTGAGTTGGGATTTACGTCACATCGGCATTATTCCAGTCAGCAGCGTTAAGTAACATTATGCTTCTAAGGCCTGGTACGGTGGGGGTAGCCTAGTGGTTAAAGCGTTCGTTCGTCACGCCGAAGACCCGGGTTCGATTCCGCACATGGGCATAATATGTGAAACTCACTTCTGGTGTCCCCCCGCCATGATATTGCTGGAATATTGCTAAATGCGCCGTAAAACCAAACTCGCTCACTTCTAAGGCCTGTGTCGATACATATGCTATCAGCCGATACTTCGATGGTATTGTGTAAAACATGGCTTAAAGGGCATATAATCGTTATCAGGACTTAACATACAGAGTCTTCTTCAGAACACAAACCATTTCAGGCTTTTTAAGCTGACAGACCTTTAGTTCAAACAGTTTTTTTTATCCATTCACAGACTTAATAAATATCAAAATAGCCTTAATATATATGATCAAAGACAGTCTTTCCTGAGCTTCAAGACGTCTCCGTCAACAGCAGAGTCAATTCTACAATGACGATGACATCATGAGCTATGTTTAAAAGTCAGTATCAAATAGTGATGATACCAAGTGTTTGCATATACGTTAGCGTATCCTGCCCCATCAATGACGTCCGTTACCAACACACGTGGTGACAAACAAGGAAATTACACTGAAACGAATAAGTGGGATTTGTCCAAGATTTCGACTTTTCACATGGTTAGATCTGTGTCCAAATTGGATTGATTAGAAGCCCAATATTTAAGAAATAGCTTATACGGTCAATCTAGAAATATATTTCTAATAATAAAACTGAATAAATGCACTGGAAGATAAACATTTAGGTGATAAAAAAGATGCACGATCCATCTGAACATACACGTCATTCAGTATTTCACATTTCTGTGTAAGGTCAATGCTATATTGTTGAGATTTCAAGAAATAAGGTCCTTCTTTAAATATGAGCATTTCTCACATGTTTTGAATGCAGTAAACTATGGTTATAACGAGCGCAAGGGGCCACTTAGACAAACGCTTAGCATAGTAACGAACAAGCCCATTTAAATTAAACAGGAGCCCTAGGAGACCAGAGATTCAGAACCTGAGGAAATCTAGACTTGCTTTATTTAGGGCTTTAGCACTGCAGGTAGGGCTTGGCAGCAGGGGAAAATAATGTGGTTCAGGGGCTGTGAGGCAGACTAGGGGCCACTAATTTCAATTCGTTACACACGTAGTTCGTTACACGCATTTTTATTCAAGTATACAGCAAATGGCCAGGACAACAGAAGACAGTTCAATATATCCGTCAGTTCGTTACAAGCGTGTTTGTTATAAACGTAGTCTTCTGTACATATTTTTTTTTGTTACTGTACATAATCTTATGGCCTTTCGTGCATAATGTTTTCGTTTTTCCAGCAAGAGAGATCCAAATATCCGGTGCGGTGGGGTGCCCTAGTGGTTAAAGCGTCAGCTCGTCACGCTGAAGACCCGGGTTCGATTCCCCACATGGTTATAATGGGCAAAGTCCATTTCTGGTGTTCCCCGCCGTGATATTGCTGGAATATTGCTTAAAAGCGGCGTAAAACCACATCTCACTCACTCACACGAAATAACTTTCAATGCAAAGCGAGCAAGAGATTACTGAAAGTTTATCATGTGAGGCGTCAAACGCTAGTACAGGTTGCGAACTTAATTGAACCAAACATTTCTGTAAACTATATATTTCCTGTTAGTTTACCTACATTTATATAATATGGAAACACCCATTTGAAACGGTTTGTAAAGATTTCCTAGCCAGAATAACGTCGTCATTTTGTTAAACAAATAAAGCACTGCTTCATATCCGTAAGGGAAGGCTGTGTTTACCCCTGACAGTGAGAAGCCCGCTTCAGTTTACAGCAAACCAATCAAGTCCAATTTAAACTTTTGTGTGAAAGAAAACAATTACCGAAAACCCGGACATAATGAAAAACTATGTGGACATGTTAAAGATTACTTGTTTATTTCATTGTCATGGGGGACTGACGTTGTACAGGACGTCGTAGAGTGCAGAGTTGTGTCCCTTCATCGTGCAAGATTCCGCCGATCAGATTCGGGGTGATTATAATTATTGGTTTGTCGGCACCATATATGTTCCTTCCTCACACAGTGAACTGACATGCCATGATATGACTGAACATTGGTCGATTCACACACTCACTCTCTGTTTCCTTGTTTTCAATCGGGTAAAACAACCCTCTTACTGCAGCTGTTTTGAGAATATATCATTCTGCTTCTTAGTGTAACAACACAGCATTCTCTTTTCCTAACAATATATCATCCTGGTTCCTTGTGTAACAACGCAACTCTTTGTATAACAACACAGCATTTTCTCTCTCTACCAATATATCATTCCTGCTTCCTGGTGTAACAACACACCATTCTCTTTCCTAGACAATATATCATTCTGCTTCCTGGTGTAACAGCACAGCATTCTCTTCTTTCCTTACCAATATATCATTCTGGTTCCTAGTATAACAGCACATCAACAACATATCATTCTGCTTTTTAACAACACACCATTCTCTTTCTCTACCAATATATCATTCTGGTTCCTTGTGTAACAGCACATCATTCTCTTTCCCTACCAATATATCATTCTGCTTCTTGGTGTAACAACACATCATTCTCTTTTCCATACAATATATCATTCTGCTTCCTAGTGTAACAGCACATCATTCTCTTTTCCTTACAATATATCATTCTGCTTCCTGGTGTAACAACACATCATTTCTCATTCCCAGACAATATATCATTCTGCTTCCTAGTGTAACAGCACAGCATTCTCTTTTCCTTACAATATATCATTCTGCTTCCTAGTGTAACAACACATCATTCTCTTTTCCCTTACAATATATCATTCTGCTTCCTAGTGTAACAGCACAGCATTCTCTTTTCCTTACAATATATCATTCTGCTTCTTGGTGTAACAACACATCATTCTCATTCCCAGACAATATATCATTCTGCTTCCTAGTGTAACACCACATCATTCCCTTTTCCTTACAATATATCACCAATAAATCATTCTTCCTAGTGTAACAACACATCATTCTCTTTTCCTTACAATATATCACTCTGCTTCCTAGTGTAACAACACATCATTCTCTTTTCCTTACCATATATCATTCTGCTTCCTAGTGTAACAACACATCATTCTCTTTTCCTTATATATCATTCTGCTTCCTATATCATTAACAACACATTTCCTTACAATTCCTCTGCTTCCTAGTGTAACACAACATCATTCTCTTTCCCTTACAATATATCATTCTGCTTCTTGGTGTAACAACACATCATTCTCATTCCCAGACAATATATCATTCTGCTTCCTAGTGTAACACCACAGCATTCTCTTTTCCTTACAATATATCATTCTGCTTCTTGGTGTAACAACACATCATTCTCATTCCCAGACAATATATCATTCTGCTTCCTAGTGTAACAACACGTCATTCTCTTTTTCCTACAATATATCATTCTGCTTCCTAGTGTAACACCACATCATTCTCTTTTCCTTACAATATATCATTCTGCTTCTTGGTGTAACAACACATCATTCTCATTCCCAGACAATATATCATTCTGCTTCCTAGTGTAACAACACATCATTCTCATTCCCAGACAATATATCATTCTGCTTCCTAGTGTAACAACACATCATTCTCTTTTCCTTACAATATATCATTCTGCTTCCTAGTGTAACACCACATCATTCTCTTTTCCTTACAATATATCATTCTGCTTCTTGGTGTAACAATACATCATTCTCTTATCCTTACAAGATGTCATTCTGCTTCCTAGTGTAACAACACATCATTCTCTTTTCCTTACAATGTATCATTCTGCTTCTTGGTGTAACAACACATCATTCTCATTCCCAGACAATATATCATTCTGGTTCCTAGTGTAACATCACATCATTCTCTTTCCCTGACAATATATCATTCTGGTTCCTTGTGCAACAACACTATTATTGGAGTTTGCTTCCTTCTGTAAACGTAGTTGGTGCTGCTTCTCCAGTAACAATATAGTATTCCCCTTTTGTAACAACTGATTATTCCACTTCTTTCTCTAACAGTAATATACCGTAAGTTCTGCTTTCATCTGTAAGATTATATTATACCGTATCCTGTAACAGAATGGCGTTCTCCTTCTGTGTCACTTGTCATTCTGCTTCTGTAACATTATATCACTGTGTCTCGTGGGACCCATCACTCTGTCATTGACAGGCGTCCAAACAGGATAGGGTGGTCAAGTGTGAGCAACTGAGATGATAGCTCGATATCCTGCCCCGACGGTGTG